CTGCCTCCCTAACCTGTTCTTCCTCCCACCTATCCCCTCCTCCCACCTCAAGCCGCACCTCCATCTCCTACCGACCAACCTCATCCCGCCCCCTTGACCTGTCCGTCCTCCCTGGACTGACCTATCCCCTTCCTAACTCCCTACCTACACTCACCTTTCCTGGCCCCATCCCCGCCTCTTCGACCTGTTTGTTTCCTCTCCTCTATCCCTCTTCTATCCGCCTCCCACTCTCTCCCTATTTATTTCAAAACCCCCTTCCCCTCCCCCTTTTCTGATGAAGGGTCTAGGCCCGAAACGTCAGCCTCTCTGCTCCTATGATGCTGCTTGGCCTGCTGTGTTCATCCAGCCCTGCACCTTGTTGTCTCGGATTCTCCAGCATCTGCAGTTCCTACTATCTCTAGTCCTGTTCTCCTAGTGGGGGGACTGCACTGACTTTATCTTTGTGTTCAATAGATTATTTATTCAAAAAATGCAACATGTTAGCATTGTGAAAAGTTTACTTGATACTCGTATTGGGTGGCAACTACACACAGAGGTCTCTTTATTAAGTACAAACATTTTTCCATAACATGTTACAAATATTGCATGTCTCATGTAAGTACTGAAATAACATTTTAGTATTCTATGTTTCTTTATTTGTAATTGCAACAATTTCATTGGGTTATAAAGACATTGGTTATTGTTGAGAACAAGGATTTAACATCAGAATTTCTGACTAGTGATTGGTGCTGCTCTTATGGAGAGCCGGTTAATGAAATGAAGCTATCAGGGAATTTTATGACTGGTTACCTGATTAGTTCTCACTACGTATAATCTATTGTGACCTCGTTCTTCGATATGCTGGAATCTGATTGGCAGACAGCAGTGATAACAAGGGCCCCATTTTCAGTAACTGTGGAGCTGAAGATGGACCTGAAGGTTTTGCTTCAGGCACTTCACAGGCTACCTCAGGGAATGTATGCAATGTCAATCTGCAGTGTGCAGATGCTTTAAGAATGTCACTGATTTAATTGTTTACTGGGGTGAACACATTGGTCAACTTGCTCCGGTAGAAACCTGTAAGTAAATGAAAATGCCCTGAAATTCAGTCAGATTCTACTTACTGCCAGTGTTCAAAGCATTATTGATGGCAGTCATCTAAACTCTTACTCAGAGACCCATGATATTTGTGCAATTCAAAGAGATCCACTCTATCAACCTCCAACAAGCTAGTGATCAACAATACTAGACCACACACCTGCAGTTTTATTTTCTTGCAATCTTCTGCACCTTGTTACTTGAAGACTACTTGGAAAGATGGCTTATTGGAGGCAAACATTGTACTAGCCATCGAAACAGGAAGGTGAGCCAAGGTTTGAGTCAATGTAACCATAAGGGCATCATAAAACATACCATGGCATCTTGAAACAGCATTTCTTCTGCCTGGGAAGATCAATAAACAACAACACTCATGTTTCCAAACTCGTCAACAGAATGAGTTGCACACCAGGCTTGCGTGTATGGGTTGAAATAACTGCACAGAGGCCTGTGTTCCATCACCAAGTCACACTTTACTTGTGCACAGTCCATGGGCTCTGTCCAGCCTGGAGCAGATGGACTCCAACAAGCCCAAACGCTACCTACCATGCCAGTGCCGTCATCTTGTAAAAACATCTTGAATTGAACCCACTCTGCTGGCATTACTCTGCATTACAAACCATCTAGCCAACTGAGCTAACCAACCCCTGACTTTAATGCATACTCCAGCTGATTAAACCGTCTCTGAAATTATAATTTCACTGTCTCAACTATCATGGTGTCATCCTTTTGGTCTGTTTTTAACCTTAATCTATAAAACAAAGAAGGCAAGTTTTATAAGATTATTGAATCCACTTCTAAGTATATGACGTGTAACCTATAGAATCTACCCTTGTACTCCATTTAGGTATTGCCCTACTGGAGGAGAAAGTGACATGTTGACTGCTGGACATGAGTAACAGTTTCTCTCACATTTATGCATGGGTTACGAGATAGCCTTTTTGCTGGTGTGGTCGTGTCCAGTGATCTGGTGCCTGACTAGATCTCCTTCTGTCTTATCCTCTCATTTGTGTGACTGGTGTGTTTAAAAAGGTTTACAGTGCACTAAGCAACAATTTCTTTCATGCCCCTGCAGCTAAGCAGTTCCATATTGTGCCCACTGAACATCATGAGAAAAGACTTCAGAAGTATAATGATCGCGAGAGTCTGAACACTAGAGCTATGAAAAAGGTCAAGTAGGCTCCATCTCTTGGCAGCAGACTAAGGTACTTACTTGCACCATTCAAAGAATCTCTTGCATTCAGAAGCCCATTACAGAAAAAAAAATGTAGTTATCCCACTCTTCAAGATAGGGATTGCAGAGATGTTGATAATGGATTAAAGGAACATTTGATAAACACATTGAAGAGTGGAACCTAAACAGAGGCAGGAATCAGTTGGACCGAACACTGCACATTTTGTGTAATTCCATGTTTTTTTTAACCTCCATAACAGGATATTTCAGACAAATTAAAATGACGGCAGAGATTGATCATGCTCGGAAAACAATTCCCATATAGTTTGAATCAATGGCCTCTGCACTTGAGTGGGGATGTTACCTTCTTTATGCTCTGCAATAATATTTGCATGAATATGCTTGGCCTGCTGTGTTCATCCAGCTCTACACCTTGTTATCTCAGATTTTCCAGCATCTGCAGTTCCTACTATTTCAGATTCTAAACAGTTTACTTATCTCTTCAGTATGGCTAAATTTTAGGTAAGCTTACCATAAAAAAACTTTATGTGCCATCAAAACTTCTCTTGCATTTGCTCCAATTTCTTAGAATGCTTAGCAAAAGCCCATATATACTGTTTCTGCACAGCTTACGCCAATCTCCTTTATTGTTGGTATTGATGTTATGCATTGGTTGTCAGGGAAGCCCTCCTTTCTTTCAGTTTGTGAAGTCACAATTTCACAGCTATATCATTAACTGCTGGAGTTCTTATTTACCACTGCCTCTTTGAGCTTCTCCTTTTCTCCCCAATGAATAACTCGCCTTCAAATGGAACTGTTTATGTTAAATTAGGACTGGGTACCGAACAGTTGGCTGTGAATTAAAAAATATAGATCCATCGAAAATCTGCCTCAGGAGTCTGAATGTCAATGTGTTTAAAATATTGATTCTAACCATATTATTTTACAGCAGCACAGTCCTCCTGTAAACATGTTGGTAGATTATTTTGTGATGAGTGTAAGAGCTACATGCTGTTTTCATCACAACCCGTGCACACAACTTGATGATGCTTATCCTCCCTCCTCTAAACTTTGCTACATTAGATTGCACATCCAAAGAAAACAAAAAAAAATGAAATGCCTCACGTGAAAATGTTTCCCCTTTAATAGTGCTTTTCGCCTTATATTTAATAGTTATTTTGGTCAGCTAATGAGGGATTTTGTTATTCTGAAGGCCCATGAAAAGAATACATTGCCAGTTTCCAAAAGGGACAAAATGAATTACTTTTGTTCCAAAATAATGTCTACATTGCTTTGGCTGACAGCACTACTGATTAACGTCAAAAGAATCAGTCAGTGAACATCTTGGGAGGGAAGTGATTCATTTACTTTTTTAGAAGCAGTAATCTTGCTGCTGTGTTGCTCAGTTACAGCACTTACTACAATACAATATAACCATTCTTTTCTTCCAACTGATAATTAACCAGGGTTTTGGACCATAAATCAACTTTGCTTTCCTAATGTTGCCGATACATGTTATCAAGACCAACCACACTGTCTTTTACGTGTAGTGTACCCATTTCTGTTTCTTGCTAAAGTGGCTATTGTTGAGATCGTTTTGTCATTACAAAGTAGCTGCTATAAATAAACTGCTGGTGACTATATCCGTTGAAGGCTTAGGATGCAATTGAAATATAATTGGAGCATCCGCATGAAAGGATTTTGATTTCTGTTGATGGTAGAGATACAGTGCAAATGCACCTTCAATTCTGATTTAAGAACTGACTGCCGGGTTACAAGCACTTTGCTTTGGAGTCAGGTCAGGTAGTGATGGCTGCACCAAGTCTAACCTTGCACTATTTGTGACCTTTGAATCAATAATTAGTATTTGAATTTTTTTCTAATAGAGAAACATATGAATTTATTTCATTACAATTTGTTAGAACATTCATTTTTACATTTAAGTATTTGGCTCCTTTATGAGACAGGGCAATGTTTATTTCTTGCTTTTTTTTGTACCATGTAATATGCCTAAAAAGGAAGAAAAAACAATGGATCTTTTATATATATGCAAAAACTGGCATACTCACAATCAAAACAGTGATAGATTTCAGATTTTCCACAATTTTGGATTAATCATAGGTGCATAATTGAATCCGATCTGCCACGCAACTGTAGCATAGTTACATCCTCTGTGTAAAATCATTCTGAACTCTAAAACCCTACGCTTGACAGGTACTGAATGAACACATAAGCTAGGGGAAGTGGAAATACTGTAAAGTGGAAATACAGCAACTGTTAAGGGCTTGTTCTTTTTCTCTTCTTTTGTTTTCATTTTTTTAATATCTGTGAACGTTATCACACATAACCGAATGACATTCTCACCACCAAAACACCATGACTTTTTTTTTTCAAATATTAACCACCACCAGCAATCACCCAGGCAGTAAAGGCTTTTTCATTATGTCACAGCTCGTGATCATTGTCTCCCTTTACATGATCCCAGTCCTTAACCACACAAAGAGCTCTTTAAACACGGTGGTAGAGTCCCTACCTCTAATCCAGGAGGCATGGGTTCAAGTCCTTCCTTTGCCAGAGATGTGTCATACCATGTCTGAACAGGTTGATTTGAAAATAGTTGTAACAAGCAATAAAGGGCTCTTGTAATGTCCCTAGACCAGGAGACCCAAGTTCAAGTCCCACCTGCCCCAGAGGTGTGCAGTAATGTCTTTTAACAAGCTGTTTGGAAAAAAAAACCTTATGCAAAGGCAAAGTCCATGGAATAACAAGAGACTGCAGTGATATGTCCTTACCTCTGAGCCAGGAGGTCCATGCTCATGTCCCACATGCCACAGAGGTGTGTAATAACAATGCTGAACAGATTGGTTAGGAAATGTCTACAACAAGAGACAAGGTCTTGTGGCAAATTATTGTGGCTGGGCCAGAAAGTATACATTCAGGTTCCACTTCAGGATGCAATGACCACAGGGGTTTGTCATTGCACTTCCAACTAGGTTGATGAAAGTTATCTTATAAAGAGTTGGAATATTGTAGTAAAAGTTAGGAGGTAGAGGTTTGTAAGGCTGCATTTTGTGAATATACCTACTACCTAGGAAGTGAATTGTGTCATGTTTTGTAGTTCTCCTTGGATCTATTGAACAATTAGCTGTCAAGGCCACACCTTGAGTTCTGGCACCAGTTTATCAAGAGCATCCTGAGGTTCTGAGTCATTGCTGTATCCTTCACCAGTCACTACTCTCAACTATTGCTGCTTATAGAGGAACTGCTCCACCCCACTGTCATTTTGTAATGTAAAACCCCTCAATTGATGCAGTTTACAGAGAATGTACAGCCACAGATGCTAGGAGAGGGTCTCTGGTTGAAATTATCTTCTAGAGCCAAGAGTCAATTTTATCATTCCTATGACAATGCCTTCTGAGGTCAGGTGATATGGCACAGGCTGAGAATTGAACCTATGCTTAATAATTAAACTGCCAAATCGAAACAAGAAGGTCTTGTGTGTACACAACCTTTGCTGCTTCCATCCTCTGGGATCATTTCAAGACAACCTCTTCATTCCCAAACTAAGTCTGTGGCAGGAATGGTGCTATGTTTCCCCAAAAGAAAAAATATCCAGTTTTTGCATAATGCTGGTTTTTGGACAGCTGGAGTTTAGAAACTGTGTCTGTAACATTTATTACAAAGAGGTTGTTGTCCAGATATTACTTTCAAAAAGATTATGTGGACCCATATAAATAGATCTTGAAATTTTAAACAAAGCACAAATTGCTAAAGAGAAGGCATTAGGTACTCCAGCAAAAACGTTGTACCTGCAAGGAGCAGGAGTCATACAGTTGGGAGAGGCTTCTGAGAGAAATGACGTGGTCCAGTCAATGGGTTGCATTTTGAACTGATAGGGAGAGATCTTAAGAAACTTGCACCCTCTCTCTTCCTTTGCTATGCCTCTAAGTTTGTGGGCTGAAAACCCACCAGAAGTCATTAAGTCAGTTAGGGACAGTTCCTGAAGGGGATTTTTTTGTGGTCTACCCCATCATCCAAAGCAAAGAGATGCTGACTCACTACAACTTCTAGGAAGATACTCCAGTACCAGGAACATGCGTATGTAGAATAATTTCAGAATCAGAACATCACTTGGGAAAATCTATGACTCTTTCTTTCATGAGTTTACTTATTATTCGACCAAATCAACACTTTGCAGAGTTTTGATTTTCTCATTTCTCCTCAGACTTGTGCGTGCACATGTACTCATTTTATTTTTTGCTTAATCCAAACTGTTTATGAATAATCTTTGAACCTTTGAGGAAGTTTATTTCTGGTAATAAACCAGAAATTTGATGTTGACTGAAGAAACGTGGCTGAATCGTTCTTAATGCTGAACCTGACAGTCTGAGACCTCTATAATAGGCTGTATCACAAACTTGATTACACTTAAAATTTGTTGTGAGCAGTGGGGGAGTGGAATTAGAAAAGGAAACAGTGCATCCATCCAACTTCAGTCATAATGCATTACAACAATCCATTGATACTAGTGTAATGATATTGGTAATAACTATGTTATGAATGCATGACCCATGTATTTCTCATTAATGTTGCAATTTTCCTAAAATGTTGTACATACACTTTGTTATCTTATCATATTTTAACAACTTCCTTTCAGAAGTTAAGACATATGCAACTGCTTCATGAGAAATCTGCCTCACTGTTTGGCAAAATAATATAAGATGCAGTGAGACACTCCCAGCTACAAGATGTGCCTTCCCGCTGTACTCGTCTGATTCTGCCACAAATCTCACCAGAGCCCAAAACACTCTGCTCACTCTTCCAGTTTAAATGTTAAACTATGGTCACTGATTTGTCTTATAATGCTGATTGTTGTTTCCAATCCTTTCTGGTATAAGAAGTGGGTCTTTTCTTTGTAGTAAAGAACTTATGAAATTAGTTGATACTGTATAGATTTTCTCTCTTTGAAAGTTCAAAAACAGTCCCTGGAAGAGTTTGAATCAGATGGGTCAAGCTTCAGTGTTGGCCTTCCAAGATGGTAGAATAGCACTTACTGCATCCCCTCATCAATGCAAGTATTTAGAAAGAGCCAGGAGATGGTCCTGGCATAGTGTCAACTGACCAAGGTGGACAAAGTGGGTGTGACCACTCTGTTAGAGTTCAAATGAATGATTGACAAGGTAAGCCTCCAGACTTAAGCTACACAAATGAGTGCACAGTGAGCAGTGGTAGTGGGTAGTTAACTACCACATAAGAGAGACAGAGAGACACAGAGAGAGATCAAGAGAGGGAGTGTGCAAGGCACAGACAGACAGAGAGAGGGAGGGAGAGAGATAAACACAGAGAGACTGACAGAGAGAGAACCTCCTGACCTCTCAGCAGCCACCCGGAAGAACAACATACAAAGGAGACTATTATCAGCAGCCGGTAAAAGACAACTACCTTTACCACCTCAAGCTGCAGGAACTGGCTGCATCCATGTGCCCATTCTATAAGACCATAAGAAACAGGAACAGGAATGGGCCATTCAGCTCCTCGAGTCTGCTCCACCATTCAATAAGATTATAGCTTATCCAATACTCCTCACATCCACTTTCTTGCCCCTTCCCATTAACCCTCGATTCTCCCTCTGATCAAGAATCTATTTCAACTTTAAATGTACACAAGGAATCAGCCCCTTTGGTTGTCTGTTCCAGACATAACCCTCAGAAGAAATACCCCCTCATCTCAGCCTTAATTTGGCATCCCTTAATTTTGTGACTCTGCCCTCTGGTTCTAAACTCTTTAATGAGGGGAAATGTCCTCTCAACGTTTACCCTGTCAAACCCGTTAAGAATTGTATATGTCTCAATGAGATTACCTCTCATTCTTCTAAATTCCAATGAGTAGAGACCCAAACTGTTTAACCTTTGCTGAAAAGTCAATTCCTCCATACTAGGGATCATCTTAGTGAAGCTTCTCTGAACTGCCTGTGATCAAATTATAACTTTCCTTAAATTGCCCACCAAACTGTTCACATGTAATCCAGGTACACAGTCTCACTAGCACCTTGTACAGTTGCAGCAAGACTTCCCTACAGTTGTACTCCAATACCCTTTAATTAGGCCAACATTCCATTAGACTTCCTGATTACCTGCTGCGCTTCTGTGCTGGCTTTCTGTGTTTTGTGCACAAGTATCCCCAAGTCCCTTTGTGTTGCAGATTTCTGCAGTTTTCTCTATTTAAATTGTTATGAACCAGGCCAGACCCCCTCAAAATGTTTTAAGGTAGCCTAGGCCCCAACCTTGTCTTATTTTATGGGTGTTCCAGGTGTGCTGCAACTGGTCAAATTACTTCACTTTAAGGAAAACAAAATTTATTTAAACACGAACAGTTGAAACATGAACAAAAGAAAACGGAATTTAGAGTAACTTAACTATTGGAAAACATAACTGACCCACTACAGTAGCTTAACTAATTATCTGTTCCAACATACTAACATTCCATAAACACACCCTCTTGGCAAAAAGGTAAAGTTAAACACAGATTCTTACAGGCAGGAGGAAACAACACTTGGAGAGAGATTTCAGAAAAAGTCAGAGGAATCCTTTACTGAAGATTGCAGCACTTCTGGTACTCAAAATATCTTGTAACTGTTACAGCTAAAAAAAACTCGAAAAAACCTGAACTGGGAGAACTGGCCACTCCACTTCCTTTGTTAAACTGTTACTTCCTAGACTCTTTGGTGCCTCTGCCTTTACAACTTCTTCAAAAAAAGCCAAGGACAAAATAACCTTTTTAAAGTGACAGCGTCGTCACAAAATAATACTTTGTTCTTTTATTCTGCCTTCCCAAAATGAAGAACTTCACGTTTTCTCACATTATATTCCATTTGCCAACTTTTTGCCCATTTACTTAAGCTATCACTCTCTCTCTCATCTATTTGTGTCCCCATCACAACTTGCCTTTTCATCTATTTTTGTGTCGTCTGCAAATTTCATTATAGTATTCTCGCTTCCTTCCTCCAAGTCATTTACATATATTGTAAACAGTAGCAGTCCCAGCACTGATCCCTGTGGACCACCACTTGTTACAGGTGGTAAACCTGAAAAAGAACCCCATATTCCCACTCACTGTTTCCTGCCCATTAACTAATTCTCTATCCTGCCAATATACCACCACCAACACTATGAGCTCTTATCTTTTGACTTACCCTTGTTGAAAACCGTCTGGAAATCCATTTGGTTCCCTTATAACCACTCTGGTTCAGACTCTCTAAAAACTCTATTCTCTAGGATTGATAAATAACTCTCAGCTCTCATGGGTCGTATATATTTTCTGTCTAACTAACTAATGCATCATATATAAACATCTAACTAATTACTGCATCATATCCTGATAAAATTAAACAAATTACCTGATAATTTCTTATAAAGAAGTGTCTGTTTATTTTTCGTTGACTAGCACTGAATTCCATATCTCACAATGTAGTCCAAACCGATCATTTGTGATATAATTCTGTGCCTTGCAACACACTCTCTTTGTCACAATTCTCAACAGAAACATGGACATTCAGATGAATTGTATGAAATCAGACCATCACCATGCCTTTAGATTCTTTACTATCATCATCTACATGAAATTCTTTGGCTATTCTACTTATAAATAATTACTGTCTCACAGTATAATGAATATTGATGTTTTATTAAATTTACAACATTTCCCACATATAGATACACATGACGACATCTACTCTCTGTAACATCTGTCATGACCATGGATCAGGACCCTGAAGTACCATGAACGTTTTTGACTTGTAATTCTAAAATGTGACTGGCCAAAGAAGTGTGCAAGGCTAGAATGGTTAGCTGCAGGTATCTGACCCGAGAGCCTGAATTATATTACTGTTTTGCAGGGAATGAATGTCTGTCTGAGTGTCCTCTAAACATGGCATCAGGACCGCTGATCATAAGATAACTACCTACCTGTTCTTGCCACAAGATTCATTGAGTCACTGATATATGCATGTGTTATGAACTGAGAACCATATGACAGCATAAGGAAGGAAAATCTGCCTCCACGCAGAACTAATGCTCACTTCCTCTCCCACCCGGAGATTAAACTTCATAACGGGAAGATTCTATAAATATTCCGACTGATCAAATTCCAAGGTGGAATCTACAGAATGTGATAGAAACTAGTGTGAGTGAAAGTAAACGAAGAAGTCATAATTTAAATGAACAAGGTATATAACAGGCTTGGAAATAGTAAATTCAGGCAGTTCCTTTAAATTATATGATTGAGCACACACCACAAGTTCAAACAACAAAGAGCAAGTGTAAGATTGATAATATGGTTATTTCTTTACACTGAGTGATCAGCAGTGGATATGAATTCCTGGATAAAGAATCTGAACTGAGAAATCTGGAGGCTTTAAAGAACCAATCGGATGCTCTTTATGTTAATCTGGATCAATGGGGTGAATGGTATTTCTTATCTATAATTGTGTTGTTTATGACTCAGCTGCATTATATTGCAATAACAGTGTGCTATTCAACTGAATTATAAGCTCAATTATGTAGGAATGTAATGTTTTAAAAAATGCATTGTGGATATGGGTTTTGCTGACAATGTCATTATGAATTGCACATCTTTGGTTATCCTGGAAAAGCTGGTGAACCTTCCTGAATCTCTGCTACCAGACATTCAGTATCAGAAATAGATTGAATCTGAATCTGCTGCATAATCAGATGCAGCGTGAATGAATGTTAATTTGCTCCACCATCATCTATTTTATTTCACTTTGATTTTAATAGCCAGGGCGATAATATTACTGTGGGCATCCATAAGTACAGAAATTGATTTGACAATGAGCTGGATATAGAGAAGGTTGGGAGGATGGCATGAATGTTTTTAATAAACCTGTTAATACATGTTATGAGACAAACCTAGAGCAGGTGGGATTTGAACCCAGGCCTTCTGGCCCAGAGATAGGGACTCAACCACTACCTCACAAGATCCTTAAGAGCAGTTGGCATAGGGTGACCCTTGGTGGAAGCTTTAAGAGTTAAAACAAAAATTACAAAATGTAAGCCTAATTCAGAACTACGCAGATATACAGGCGACATGAGCCATTTAGCTACTCAAGATGTCATAACCACGGTGATGTATCTAAAAGTAGAAAGTTGATAACATGACAACAATTGCTGTAAATAAGAAATTGTTGGCATTTTCAAGGGACATCGTCACTGGATATGGGCACAGCAGACACTTGATTACAATGGAATGCTTTTACCTTAACTGTGACCTTCTAATGAAACATCAATTGCACTGTAATTGTCTCGTGCTGTTTATGGCCATGTGACAAATGAAATGCTGCAAAGTGAATAAGAATGTAAAGAAAGCTTTGTTCATTGAGCAGTCTCTCTCTCTCTTTCTCAAACAGTATCCCTAATGAATATGGTAGAATGAAGCATTTGCCCTGTTTGGAACCATAAACACTTGACACTGAGATGGTATTTGAAACACTATAATAATTACTTACTTTCTTTTCTTTCCAATGTCCTTCCCATTTGATCTAATGCTAAAAGATGACTCATGGCGAGATACATGTTCATGGATTCAGGTAATTCATCTGACTGTGTGTGAAAATAGCTCAGGCTGAAAAAAGTCACCTTTTTCAATTACTGCAAATATCTGAAATGAAATGAACTGCAGCAGTTTCAATCAATTGTTAGCCAAAACCCATCCATGTTGACGGAATCCTATCAAAAGGCATGATTCACAGACATCAAGGTTCTGTTACATTTTAAATGTCACCACACATTTCCTTCTGACCCAGTGCTATGATTCACTCCTGTAAATGTGAGCTCAATTGCTGACAATTGATGCTTGAATCAACATAGTTCAGCGCATTCATAATAGTTTCAAATTTGTATCATTCTTGGTGATAGAAATTATATTCTCGCCCTTTCCCTGTTGTTGACATTTAAGATGTAATCCTGATCAAACAGAAAATAAATTAAAGTTCAATTAAAACTGAAATATTTTTCTAATATGGGAACTTAATCTTTCTTCATGCACAATGCAAATTCTGTCATTAGCAGAGGATATTGATTTACAGCCAGCAGTAATCTCTGTACCTCTCTCAATTGCTTCACACATTCTTCTAAAACAAATTATTCTTTGCAAACTATTGGCTTCTCTGCCCTCTCTATCTTGCAGTCATGATTTTCTCTATATAAATTCGGATCAACAATCTATTAGCATGCTGGAAAATAATCTGTTCCTATAGCTTTTATGTAATTGTAATTGAAAGTATAATGTAAAGTGAGTGGAAATCTGATAAAAAGTGACAAATTGATTACATGCCGGAAACACTTGGGGATAAATTTAAAGCAGCCCTCTTGTGGGGTTACTTTATTTGGCATTATCTCTGTTACAATCCTATTTATTTGAACTCCAATTTCATTTGTTCTTGTCAAATGTTTACACTTTTGACAGTTTCCGAATTATGCAATTGAGATTTTTCAGTATTATTTTGATTGTTTAAGTTTTGTTTTCTAATCAAAGAATTCATGCTCCAAGCAGAACTAATGCTATTCATATAAGGTGAGGAAAGTACTAGCTATGTAAATCCATCAATAACTTGTCAATAATTAAAATAATTTATAAATAATTTATTTGTTCTTGAAGTTTCATTCAAATTATAGACAAATAAGGAAAAGTACTATAAAACTCAGTATAAAACCAAGATACAAACCTCTTTCCATAAGTATTCATAAAAAATAGTCATACGTTCATAGATTGTAACAGATTATAAATAACATTTGAAAATCTGTTTTGGAATTCCACTGCTTAAATAATTCTATATTCATGTAGATATTGCAACATTGACGTGTAGTATGTTATTACTTAAGAAAATGTTTTTGAAATTGGAGTGAAAATAGATTTGTGTTCAGTTCTATGGAGGTGACTTGTTTTTCCAATGGTATCAATGCCTTTTTCCATGCCTTGTTCTAAACGCCCTATCATCTATATGTTCTTGTTTGCTATGATCTGCCTGTACTGTTCGTAAAACAAACATTTCACTGTACTTAGGTGAATGTGATAACAATAAATCAAATCAAAAAGTTAAACATTACAGTCCTTCTTACTAAAAAGTGGAAAAACAAAGATAAACTGTTAACAGTTCAACACCACAGTCCATAAGCACTTGGCCATGCTGGGCTCGCACTCCTCACAAAGGCTTGACCTTCCAGACTACAGCAGGGAGTGGGCAAGTGTATTTCCAGTACTGTTTGTAGGCCAGGAGGCAGTCCCTTGGTGGATGTTGCAAACCTGTTGGCAAGCCCAGTGATCAGGGCTACCTCCTATTCCAATGATACCCCAAACCTGATCTCTCTCACCCTTCCTGTGCTCAGCATCAATTCTCCCAGTAACTCCCCATCTCCCTTCCTCTTCATGCTCCCTGACTGCATCCTGGTGTTATAGGTTTATCCTTTCAACAGCTGGTGTCTTAAGGGTGCTGAGATCAAAAATAGTAGCCTTGGTAATTGTTCTGATTTGTGAAAGATGTGTTATCTCCTAGCAATCTGATATAATAAAACAGGTGAACAGCAAGGTGACCAAAGAGAGATTCTTGTAGAATCAGTGGCCAGAAAATGATAGGTCAGATTCTTTTGAGAGAGGTTGGAGAGTTCACTTTCAATTGCAAAGCCTTCAAAGTATTAATTTGAGGATTTTGTCACAAATTCAGTGCACATACTCAAACAACAGCAAAGTATGTAAAAGATACTGTTTGAAAAAATATATGGGTGGGGTAAATTGTACTATTATTGTGAAAGGCAAACTGAGCTGGAAGTAAAAGAGAATTTGGTTATGGTGGAGATAAACTGATCCAATTTACATACAGATTAGGTAGAAACTTTGTGGACAGGAGTAAAAGGCTTTATAAAGGGAATGAAACCAGTAATAGATACCTGCTAAAGATAACAATATCAAAAGGAAGAATTGAAACCAGTACAGTGTAGTCTAATAACAGAAGTAAAGATGGAAATGGATATAGATTGTAACTATGCTTTCAGTTTACCAGAGATGGAAAAATTCAAAGAGTTCATCAGCAATGTGTAATCTTGGCCTTAATATTTGGTTGTTACAGGAACAAATACTGAAGGAACACCAGCAAGTTTTAAGTATTATTTTGTTGATGTAACAACCAGGAATTATGTAGCACGTCAACCCACAGTGAGTCTCAAATACTAGGTAAGAGGTAAATTAAATGGTGGGAAAGAGTGGCAAACTGGTAAAATCATTGGTGTTGACGTCCAAGACCCAGGCTAATGTCCTGGGGAATACTGTCCCAACGTGATAGGCAGCATTTACATTCAGTGAATAAATTGGAATTTAAAAAGTTAACACCTGTAATGATAACCAGAAAACCATTGTTGATTGAGAGAGATAGTAGGAACTGCAGATGCTGGAGAATCTGAGATAACAAGGTATAGAGCTGGATGAACACAGCAGGCCAAGCAGCATCAGAGGAGCAGGAAAGCTGACGTTTCGGGCCTAGACCCTTGATTGTTGTAAAGGCTCATCGGGTTCACTAATGTCACACAATGAAATAAATCTATCATTCTTACCTGTTCGACTTACATATAATTCTAGACCACAGTGATATGTTTGTTATGTTTCAAGAAGGAGCAGGAAGCTAAAGGATTAAACAATAACAAGATCTTTGTTAAGGAGGTTTTCACTCTGTAGGCAGCAAGCTTAGGCTAAATTGTCTCCACCCAAAATGGCCAATGTTATCATCTTCACATAACATGTTTATATCTTAAAGTGACAGTTCACCATACCTAGCAAATATATAACAGTTGTCTCTTAACTGCCCTCTGAAATGGCCTAGCAAGCCTCTTATTTCAAGGGCAGTTAGGGATGGGTAAAAATTCTGGCCTTGCCAATGACAGCAACATTATAGAGTCCAGTTTTTAATTTGGGAGTTAATGTCTTGAATTATTGCTACAGAAAGTTAATGAGAAAAATCCATTTCTAGCAATAAATAAAAATCTCATTCTTGCAACTTAATAACTGCCGGATCTAAATTTATAGGATTTTTAAAATTAAAAATTAATACAAAATTCTAAGTTAGAGAAAAGTTACAGAAAACATGGTCAAAAATCAACGTCCAACACCAGAATCTCCACATCATTACAGAAAAACTGCGTTTTGCTTAATTAGAAAGATCTGACTACTTAATTTCAGCTCTAAATTTTCCTATTTTCTGTCATCTATATTGCTTGATGTGAATTATTGGATTTTTAAAAATTACTTAATTTAATTGCTTAATTATTACTAGGAGTGGACTACATGGGAGTAATTTTGAGGAAATTACTTGCTGACAGTTCCTGTGTGGAATTGAGCAAGTACTACACATCATTTTCAGCCATCAGTCTAAACTTTTACACAACAATATTTCCAAAGTGTATTCCTGGAAGGGGTAGAACGTTTGTGGTGGAATGAAATTGTAAAACAATTACATTATAGAATCCCAACTGTGCAGAAAAGGGTGATTTGGAACAATGAGATAACAAGGTGTAGAGCTGGATGAAGACAGCAGGCCAAGCAGCATCAGAAGAGCAGGGAGGCTGACGTTTCGGATCTGGACCCTTCTTCAGAAATGGGGGAGGAGAAGGGGACTCTGAAATAAATAGAGAGGGGGGGGGAGGTGGATGGTAGATGGATAAAGGAGCAGATAGTTGGAGAGGAGACAGACAGGTCAAAGAGGCGGGGATGGAACCAGTAAAGGTGAGTGTAGGTGGGGAGTTAGGGTGGGGATAGGTCAGTTCAGGGAGGACGGACAGGTTAAGGAGGCAGGATGAGGCTGGTAGGTAGGAGGCGGGGGTGGGGCTTGAGGGGGGAGGAGTTGATAGGTGGGAGGAAGGACGGACAGGTTAGGGAGACAGGGACAAGCTGGGCTGGTTTTGGGATGTGGTTGGGGGAGGGGAGATTTTGAAGCTTGTGAAATCCACATTGATACCATTGGGCTGCAGAGTTCCCAAGCGAAATATGAGGTGCTGTTCCTGCAACCTTCGGGTGGCATTGTTGTGGCACTGGAGGAGGCTCAGGATGGACACGTCGTCTGCAGAATGGGAGGGGCAGTTGAAATGGTTTGCAACTGGGCGGTGCAGTCGTTTATCGCGAACCGAGCATAGGTGTTCCACAAAGCGGTCTCCAAGCCTCCGCTTAGTTTCTCCGATGTAGAGGAGGCCACATCGGGAACAGCGGATACAGTATACCACATTAGCAGATGTGCAGGTGAACATCTGTTTGATGTGGAAGGTCTTCATGGGGCCTGGGATGGGGATGAGGGGGAAGGTGTAGGGGCAGGTGTGGCACTTCCTGCGGTTGCAGGGAAAAGTGCCGGGTGTGGTGGGGCTGGGGGGTAGTGTGGAGCGGACAAGGGAGTCAGGGAGAGAGTGGACCACAAAGGCATATAAGGGTGGGGAGGGAAAAATGTCTTTGGTAGTGGGGTCAGATTGTAGATGGCGGAAGTGGTGGAGGATGATGCGTTGGATCCGGAGGTTGGTGGGGTGGTACGTAAGGACAAGGGGGATTCTGTTTTGGTTGTTATTGTGGGGAGGGGGTGTGAGGGATGAGTTGCGGGAAAGGCTAGAGACATCGTTGAGGGCGTTTTCGATCACTGTGGAGGGGAAGTTGCGGTCCTTGAAAAACGAGGCTATCTGGGATGTCCGGGAGTGGAATGCCTCACCTCGGGAGCAGATGCGGCGGAGGTGAAGGAATTAGGAATAGGGGATGGCATTTTTGCAGGAAGGTGGGTAAGAGGATGTGTATTCCAGGTAGCTGTGGGAGTCGATAGGCTTGAAATGGATAGCAGTTTCCAGGTGGTTGCCAGAGATGGAAACAGAGAGGTAACAGAGATGGTCCAGGTGAATTTAAGGTTGGGGTGGAAGGTGTTAGTGAAGTGGATGAACTGTTCGAGCTCCTCGTGGGAGCACGAGGCGCCGCCGATACAGTCATTGATGTAACGGAGGAAGAGGTGGGGGATAGGGCCAGTGTAGCTTCGGAAGAGGGATTGTTCCACATATCCTACGAAGAGGCAGGCATAGCTTGGGCTAAAGCGTACAATTCGCGTCAAGGACCCATCGCACTTGGTCAGTATGGGGGATCGAACCCACGACCTTTGCGTTATTAGCACCAGGCTCTAACCATCTGAGCTAATGGATGTGGAAGACCATGCCTCCCCCCCACAACCCAACATTTATCATGACCAATCCACCTAACCTGCACTTCCGTGGACACTATGGGCAATTTTAGCATGGCCAATCCATCCAACCTGCAAATCTTTAGACTGTGGGAGGAAACCAGAGCACCCAGTGGAAACCCATACAAATGCAGGGAGAACATGCAAACTCCACACAGACAGTTGCCCGAGGCTGGAATCAAACCTGGGTCCCTGGTAGTGGGGGGCAGCAATGCTAACCACTGAGCCACCATGCCATCCTTATTATGCCCATGGGCTTCACATAGACTTGGCTTACTTTTGTTTAACAACAAAGAGAACTTTTACATATTTTTGAGTAAGGGAATTGTCAAAGTAATCCACTCCTAAGGCAGACTTTGTCTTAAACAACAGCTAACTTATGAACTGTTTTCTGTTTGCTCTGATACAGCAGTTTTGATTTTTATAGTAAATTTTCTACTTAAATTACAGTCAATCATTATTCCATTCATCGATCTCTTTTTATGGTTGCAGGGCAGGAACTGCCAATATAGATGATAGAGTATGACGTACTTTATTTCATTACACAAGGATTTTCATTTAATATGTCTGGATGAAGACCGACAATCAATTTTTTACATTTCATGTTGGACAAGCTCATGATGAAACAACTTTTATAGATCCAAACCCATGATAATTTTATCCTGTTTTTATATTGGTGGTATCTAGTTACATGATAAATTGTCACAAATAGGTGCTATTAGAAAAATCACAACAGCAGTTGTAAAGCAGAAAATGGATGAGATGAATAATCTCAATGTAACCAAAGTAAACTTTTTTTTCCCTAAAGGTACAATAACATCATCTACCTAAGCATCACTAGCAGTTCCAAACTTCAGTCAAGCATTTTCCTGATCATTGAAGAAAAAGATAGTGGTGGTATATGGGACAAGTGGAAATATTCCTGCTTGTATTATTTGAAAAGCAAACGATTTTATACACTTGATGTCCACTTCAAAGACAAATCACATACAAGAAAAGCAAAATCCAGGAGCAAATGTATTTCTGTTAATAGTGCATCTAATTCTATCAGTATATCCTACCCCTTACAATTTCACATAATAAAAATATATTACTGACAAGCTACTCATATAGTCACTATGGTTTCACTTTCAGTGATTGTGTGTAAATGGGAAGATGTTTTCTTTAACTGAATGAAATCCTCCGACAACTTTTTCCAATTTATTGACATCATCTAGGCACTTTGTCTGTATTAATATCCTGAAAAATCCAAAATAATTTTCCAGATTTTCTTTTGCTGACGAGCTAACAGAGTTTGGTATATTCCTCAATGATTTGAGGAACAAATTTAGCCGCTATAAGGCTTACCAGGATTCATATACATACATACGTACAAGAATCACAACATGGAATAACTGGTGGATTGATTTTTATGAACTGATGCAGTCACATGATAATTTGGTTCACACTTAAATGAATAATTTCAGGTCCAGTCATTAAGTTTGCATGATCTGCTGACTTATGACATTTAATATTGTACTGATGGAGCATCAAAGCAATGCTTGTTTCTGAAGCTATGCTACTACTAAGAAATTTACTCCCTCCTTTGAACCGCATGCAATCCTAAGGGCTTGGTTCACAATCAGTTTACAAAGTAAAATTCCTGCCATACAAGTACTTGTGGAACCTGGTAACACTTTATATGTCATCATTACTGCCTCTTTCAGAATTTGTGAATTAATTTACAGTGACTGTGTTAACATACTGAAGCGTATGCCACAGACTTGTTTACACTGCCTTCCATTACATGAGACAACACCATACCTATCCCCTGTGAAGAGACATTACTTGCTAATGAGATAGCAAGAACTGCAGATGCTGGAGGCAGAGACAACACAGTGTGGAGCTGGAGGAACACAGCAGGCCAGGCAGCATCAGAGGAGCAGGAAAGTTGACGTTTTGGGTCAGGACTTTTCTTCAGAAATGGGGAGAGGGAAGGCAACTGGGAAATAAATAGAGAGGAGAGGTGGGGCTGGGGAAGGTAGGTGGGATGGTGATAGGTGAATGAAGGTAGGGAGTGGTGGGGATTGGTCAGTGGGATGGGTGGGGTAAATAGGTGGGAGAGAAGATGGACAGGTTGTGTTAGGTCAAGGAGGCTGGGCAAGAGGGAGAATTGAACATGGGATGAGGCCAGGGATGGGGAGATTTAAAAACTGGTGAATACCATGTTTAGGCCCTAGGGCTATAGGCTCCTGAGGCAGAATATGAGGTGTTGCTCCTCTAGTTTGCGTATGGTGTCATTATGGTACTGGAGGAGGCCCTTATTAGGATCTCACTGGTTCAAAATATCATCACTAGTCAGTACTTTTTTCACTTTTTTCAAATGCTTTTTGACATTCCACAGATCACACTCAACCTAGCCCATGATTGAACAGTTGATGGAGGGA